AAACGATGGTGAACTTTACGATGCAAAGTAAGGTGATACAGCCAGCATTGCCATTACCGGCAACACCATCGGCTGTTGTAGAAGTCGACGCCCAATAGGGAGGATTGAAAGGAGGATAGACATTGGTGCCACCTATTTTGTACTAGAGGAGGAGACAAACGAACACACGGCGATCTGAGGACACCAGGCAAGTAGAACCATGAAGAGTAGATTCCTCGAGGGCAGTAAGGTCACTAATTAGGGGATCTCAACAGATGAATGGAGAAGGCCAACATCCTAAAAAGACTAAGGGAGTTGAAAAGTTCAAAACGACTCACCCCAAAACAGGAAGTAGCACATCGAAGAGGTTGAAGTCAATTGATAGCAGAGCATCAGGGCAATCGAAGGAAGCCTTACGAGATTACCTTTAAAGAAAAAAGAATGGTGTCGAGGTCAAATCTACAACACAGCCAAAGTCACCGTTCTCTGTGGAACTAGACAATTTTGAGGCGCTGAAAAGATTTACCATGCTGAGGTTTCAAGTGTATGACGGTAAGTCTGACCCTACTTTCATGTTGGTTTATATTTAAATGCTATGTTTTTGTGGAGTGGAAACGAACAGTTGTTATGTAAGGTGTTCTTGTCGACATTTGGAGAAATTGCATCAAACTGGTTCCTAAAGTTACCCAAGGGATCAGTTAAGAGTTGGGAAGGTCCGGCCAAAATGTTTGTGGCTAGGTTTGTGACTAATAGATTGCAGCCTTTGAAGGTTGATTCCATGTTGGCACTAAAGATTGACGATGACAAAAATCTTAGGGCCTATGCCAAGAGATACTACGAGGTTTAAAATTGAATTCTGGCATGTAACTAGGAGCTAGTAGTCATTTCTTTTAAGAACGGCCTTGATAATGACTACTTACTTCGGCAATCCCTTGCAAAGACATTCCTGAAAAGTATAGAGGATCTGATGGCAAGAATTGAGAAGTATGCCAGGGCAAAGGAGGACAAGAAGTTGAAGAAGGGAAGCACAATGAAGTAGGAGAAGCGGAATGACTCACCAAAGTGACGCCAAGGCAGTGCCGGCATTGATAAGGAGGAGCCGGGGCTGAAGGCCATGCAGGCGATGAGCACAATATTCAAGATCCCTATTTATAGGATCTTAGAAAGAATCAGCAACCAACCTTATTACAGGTCGCCACAGAAAATCCCAGGGGAGTCCATGGGCAAATTCCACACGAGGTCTTGTGCATGCCACGATGAGAACGAGCATTTGACCCAAGGGTGTTAGGTTTTGAAGCAGCATCTAGAGGACCTCACTTAAAGGACCTGATAGAAGAAGAGAAAACAAGAGAGGAGCAAGCCAAATTGGCCCAAGTGCCGGTAGCGCCACCGCTACCCCCAGTAGCACCTCAGGCAAAAACACCACAAGTTATTAATGTGATCCATTCCAAGGTTAAAGCAAATGAGATCAGGGAGTAGACACAAAGTGAACCATCTGTAGCACATGTTCCAAGCTCAGCAGAAGAAACCCCGAACGGAAAGATATCGGGGGCTGACGATTGCATTCATGGATGAAGATTTGGAAGTGGTCTAACAACTACACAACGATGCTTTGGTGGTAACCCTGATGATCAGAGGGTACCAGGTAAAAAGGATTCTCATTGACCAAGGCAGTTCTTGCAACATCATGTATGTCAGATGTTACAAGAAACTTGGCCTTCGTAAGGATGTTTTGGAACATTTCGATAGCCCCATGGTCGGATTCAATGGCACGCCGACGTGGCCTCCAAGGACCACAAACTTGGAAATCCAGGCAGGAACAAAGAATATAATGACAGAGTTTATTGTAATCGATGCACCTTCACCATATAATATCATCCTGGGAAGACCTTGGTTGCATGTGTTGAAGGTCGTCCCCTCAACCTTGTACTAATTGTTATGGTTCTCAATAGAGTTTGGGAATGAAGAAGTAAGAGGAGACCAAGTGCAGGTGAAAAATTGCTCCATGGTAGTAATGATGTATACCTATAATATCCCAGAAATGCAGACTGTAGAAGTAGAAGTAGAAGACGAAGACCGAGAGGTCTTAGATGATGTCTACAGGAAACCTATCGATAAGAGCCAGGAGCCCTTGAAGAAGATCCTAGTAAACATATGTGATAAGGAACGATTCTTCCTCATCGACTCGGGCTTAGTTGAGGAAGAAGAAAGGAAGTTGGATGTTTTTTTGAGAGAGAATATAGAGATGTTCGCTTGGACACCATACACTACAGGAAATTTGCTTTTTAGCGGCGTTTGTAAAACGCCGTGAAAATCCTGAAAAATGCCGTAATAGCTTATGGCGGCGTTTAAATTTTTTGTCGCTGATACGGCCGCCGCAATAGCTTCCGACGTTTTAAAAACGTCGCTAGAAATATTAGACGGCGTTTAAATGCCGTAAAATATTTGACGCCCATCTCTCCTTCCGTCCCAAATTAACGTATGATGTCACAATGACGTCATTTAGTGGCGTTTCTCAAAAAATGCCACTTTTTCTTCCCCTTTTTTTTTTTTTTTTTTTTTTGTCCTGCTTCTGCTACAAGAAGGTAACGTGCGACGTCGGAATGACAACATTAAGTGGCATTTTTTAACACTTTTTTTCTTTATTTTTTTTGAATATATATTGGCTGATGATGCAAGAACATGAAATAAAATATCATTTTTTGTTTTCTCTATGCTGCTATTGTTGTAAACTGTATTCATAATTTGTGATCTCATGTTTTATGTTTGCTCTATGCAACAAAACTATTAGATTTATAAGCAACTAGGACCCCAAATTTTCCATTTCTTTGCATTTTTCTGGTCATCTGTAGTGACCAACCAGTTCAGAAAGTTGGGCTACAATCCAACCAGTGAAATTTGTGCTTCAGTAATGTATTAAGCTAGTGATCATGTGCCTGTTGGCACTTACTCAATTAAATTATCAACAGGCAAGCATCGAAAAAACAAGTCAAATCCACTGTCCAATCCAGTAGGCAATAAAATTTCAAACATCAAAAAACTAAAAACACACCAAATACTGTGAAATCAAATTTGATTGAAATTTGATTAATAATTTAATTAAAGAAGTTCCCAGAATCATGTGAAATCAATACAAGCATCAAATTTGGTCATATGTACAAAAAGAAGAAAAAAACAAGTAGGCAAGTCAATATCCAAACATCTAGTAGTTATTCCTAAGTCATCGGGTATAGGTAGTAATTGATAGGAAAAGTTCAGTCCCAAGTTTTAGTTCTCATCACAAACCTTTTAATTCCATCAGTCAAATCAGGAAGAGTAGAAAATAAACAAGCATGTTCCACATTTCCTTGTATGCTAATTCCATTTCCAAATGTTTACTTCCATCTTCCATATCCACTGTCCAATCCAGTCCAATCACATCAACCCCAGTTCCTTTCATCTGCTCAAGAAAGCCACCATTCCCATTAATGTGGAGAACAAGTGGAGTTCCAAGACAATGTCTTTACTAGACTCAGAATCTACAATTCCAACAATCCCATAAGGTGATTGAGAAAGAAAGAGAATAAAATGATAAAAACAAGAAGTACAGGGCAGCATATTATTGAAACAGAAAGTAATAAGTTTGTGTGCGTAGATTACAGAATCTAGGCAACAATTTTAAATCACTGAGAAAAAACAAAATCCATTTAATGTCCATGGACTTCCCACCTTCTAAATCTCTCCTTTTAATTTCCTGGCCCTCACAAATTAGCATTTTCTAATGTTTATGACCATGCACATCATAGAACTCAACTAGATTGAACCTGAAGCCAATTAACAAATAAGTGAGAAGGAGAAAGCAATCCAACTAGAATGGTTTAGAATGAACCTGAAGCCAATCAATAAATAAGACCAAATAACCCGGTCTACTTTCTATGAGTCTGTGTGCATATTCAATCAAGAAGAGAGACAATAATAAAGTATAGTTCATCCAAAGCAATATATAGGCAAGCCAAACTAATAAATTCCAATAAGGAAACAAATATAAACTAAGAATAAAATCCTAAAAAAATCCAACTTCATTAATAAAATAAAATTCACAAATAAACTAAAATTATATATGGTACTATTGCTTCTTATCTAAAATCTTTCGCCCAAGGGTCATTAATGCTGTGTTTGGTTGGAGTTTTTGAGGTGGGATTTGGAAAACGAATGAGAAATGTAATCCTATTTATGTTTGGTTATAATAAAAAATATATGGGAAAAGAAAGGGGGTGAGAAATAAATAAAGAAATAGGATACCTTTTAAGACATCAATTCTATTTTATAACCAACACAACCAAACATAGTTGGGATTTGGAATTCTATTAATTCTTTCTCCTTTTCCTTTCATTTCCATTTCCCTTTCCATTTCCCTTCCCAAATCCCCCAACCAAACACAGCGTATATGTATAAAAAAAACAGAACTATTCCTTATGAACTTTCACACTCCATAGTGCCTACAAAATTCAAAAGAACCTCCAACAAGGGTCAGCTCTCTCCAACTCTTTAAGTTTATTATGATCATGGAAAAATACTCATCATACGGTATAAAGATCTCTTAAAGTCCCCAATGCTATTTGGTGGGATGGCATAGTATATGGTGTGGTAGATAGATATAATAGTTTGAGAAATATACTGGTTTTAGGCAGAGGATATGAATGGATGCTCACATGGACTTGCTATTTTGTTTATTTGTTTCACTTACCATTAATTGTAATGGTGTCTCACCATTCACAACCATTAAATTGCTGGTAAATGTATATTTGATAGGGGCTCGACAATTTACATATTTTTATGTGAAAATTTTCATTTCCTCTCTTGCTATTGATGAAAACATCAAGGGTTGTTGATTCCTAACTGCATGTGTTCCTTTTTGAGTGCTTCAGGAAATGGCATCTAATATATTGGTTTTGTTTTTAGGTTGGATGACTTGGACTCTAGATTATCTTCTCCTTCTGCTTCAGTCGGAATGAACAAATGTGGATTTGGCATCGACAAAGCCTAAGGACGCTGAGCCACTCTTGACCATAATTACCAACATATGAGGGGTGATAGATACGAATACTAGTTGAAATATACTATTAATGAGACTTACCAAACATAAAAAAGAATTACAGGAGCTCCACAACCAGGGCTGATGCACCTCCTCCTCCATTGCAAACACTGCCAACTCCATATTTGCCATTCTTCTGCTTCAGTACCTAAAACATTACACTTTGAATTAATGCAAAGCCACAGGGAAAACCCTTCATCCCAAGAATTAATAGTCACACAGCAAGAATAGCTATGCAGTATATATTTACATAACATAAAACAGTAATACAGTAGAAATATACCCCCATAAGCGTGACCAAGATACGGGCACCACTGCAACTGAGAGGATGGCCCAAAGATACAGCTCCACCATGTACATTTACTTTTTCCTACAATCAACATTAAAAATGTGATTAACAAAATAGGATATGGCCAACCCTTGTGCCCATGAAATTCTGAAGGCAAAGGGTAGTAATAACGAAAGAAGAGCTACACAAAACAAATTCAGAGCAAGAAGTTCAAACAAGATCATTGACCAAAGATTAATAAACTCACTGGATTAAGTCCCAGAAGTTTCATATTTGAAAGGGAGACAACCTGCACAGACCACATGATAAATAAGATTTTAATTAACTCATATTTGACAAATTAGTTGCTAGGTCCATATTATCAATTAGGCATGAAAGCTTACTGCAAAGGCTTCATTAATTTCATAATAATCAACTTGAGAAGCCTCCAAGCCAGCATTTGAAATAGCTTTTGGTATTGCAAGGGCTAGAGCAGTTGTAAATAGTTTTGGTGCCTGCACGGCATATCTCATATCAACCCCAAGAACATAAAACCCAAAAGATGATAGAAACGAAAATGAGCAACATATTTTTCTTTTTTATGTTCACAGAAGCCTCTAGCATTTATTTAGTCTGCTATATATTGGATAAGTACCTGGGTAGCATCAGCATATCCTGCGATCTTTCCAATCACATGCAACCCAAGCTTAAGTGTCGTCTCTCCACTCACTAAGACTAAAGCAGCAGCACCATCACTGTCAACGTAAAAAAATTTACTTTTAGTAAAGTGTTGCTGTTCAGTTTTTATAAGACTTGCACAAGAAAATGAATACCACGGTACCACTTCAATGTAACTAAGAAACAGAGCAACTATATCCATCCCAAAAAAGTGCAACCAATTATATTATCAACTTTAACTATTAGTAGGAAAATTAGATAATAAATTGATGGAGAACAGCACCCTATAACTCCAAGTATGATCATATACAAGAGTAAGGTTCTTCTAAAATCAATGAGATGCTTTGGAAGGAAATACAGTGAAATAAACTATAAGTGAAAAGAAGCCTGTTATACATTGTTCAATAAGGCAAATTGAAAATAAAAAATAACTAACGATTGGAAGGAAATACAGTGAAATAAGCACTATAAGTGAAAAGAAGCCCCTTATACATGGTTTAATCAGGCAAATTGAAAATAAAAAATAATTAAGGATCAAAATGTGGAAGAACAAGCAATAAACCTTATGCTAGAAGCATTGCCAGCAGTGACAGAACCTCTAGTCTCCTTGAAACTCGGTCGGAGCTTCCTCAACTTTCAAGCATCAAACTGGCAACACAAAAAAGCAACAATTGGTAACATTATCAACAACCAGGTATTGAGGCAAATAGAACTAACTGATTCCACATAAATTTTCTTTTTATTTATGTACTTATTTTATTGGGGAAAACGGGAGGGGGCATTACTACATGTAAACATATTGATAAAATAATTCACCTTTCCAAGACCCTCATCCTTATCAACAATTGTTGATGGTTTTCCTCTTCCTCTAGAAACTTCAACCTGCACATCACCAAATTATGGTTTACATACTGATTTACAACAAAATTTCATTGGCTTCACTAGAAACTTAGAACTAGTTATCTGACCGGAACTATTTCCCATGCAAAGGCACCAGAATCTTGAGCTGCAATACCACGCTCAAAGCTCTGAACGACATAATTATCCTGCACAAGTCATCCAGATATAAGTAATGCAACTTTTATGCAAGAAAAATAACAAAATTCATGCAAGATGATTCTTGTGAGGGGTAATGAAAGAGAGTGATTAATTACAAATGGAGAATTTCATCATTATAAATTTGAGTTACTAGAAAATAGACCAAATGAGCAAGAAATGTTACATCAACATCTCAATAGGTAGGTTTGTAACCAACCTGATCTTCTCTTGTTACTTTATGTTGTTCTGCACATAATTCAGCACAAACTCCCATTCCATAATCGTTATAAACATCCCACAATCCATCTTTCAACATACCATCAACAAAAGAATCATGTCCAAGTCAAGATCCCTTCCTGCAATTAAATAAAAATTTCAGCACAAATTGCAACATAGGAGGTACTTCATTAATATGACTAACTAGGATATTGAAGCAATAAAGACAATAATAGCAGATCAGGAAGTCCAATATTCCAATATCATCCTAGTGTATTTAATAACGAATTAGTTAAAAGGAATCAATAAGAGAAGCAATACTTTGAAAACTATTTAAAAAGTATGGAGGTTGGGAATTTGATATGATTTCAAAGATGTTCAAATCAACAAGAATGAAAGTTTAGAATCTGCAGAAATACATAGTACATTTGAAGGACAATGAAAATGGGAATTAGAGTCAACATTTGAAAGAGAACTCGAGCATAAAGGTTAATCACTAATCTGAGGCACAACGAATGGCCATAGACTAAACAGTGGACCCATACAAAGCAAGAGAAACAACACGTTTAACAAAATTATCAAGTTTAAATGTATGGAGCCATCTTCATAAAATCATTGACCAGAGATATGTATTATAAAACGAATCAAAGCAATCGATCTCAACTCATGTTTATCCATCAGAGATATGTGTTATAGAGATGCAAGATATGAGTATGAATGTATACACTCTTCAACCAAAAAAAAAAAGAAAAAGAAAAAGAAAAAGAAATGGCTAAACGAATTGAAACTCACAAAATGGATAACCAAACTTCAAAATCTGCAATCCAAGTGGTGGCCTTCAAATCATCACCAAATCATCGAGACAGAGAGCGTGTTTGAAATCGAGCGAGAGAGTAGACTGAGAACTTTAATCGCTCAGATTCAAATCTCCAAATCTTCAAATCTTCGACAATCAATAGCAAATCGCAAATCGCAAATCTGGAGCGAGAAATAGAGAGAAGTCACAAATCGCAAATCGCAAAGCAATTTTGCTCAGAATGAATTTGAGTACTACAGCACTATCGCAAATAGCAAATAAATTTTGCTCAGAATGAATTCGAGCTCGATAGAGAGAGAGAGAGAGAGAGAGAGAGAGAGAAAAAAAAAGAGAGGGGGGGAGAAATCGCAGCTTTAGGGCTTTAGGATGTGGGTAACGGCGTTAGCCAATTAACACGCAGAGATGATGTTTAAAAGAAATCTAATACAGCGTTTTAAAAACGTTGTTTTAATTGAAAAATAGAGGCGTTTTTATAAACGTCGCAAACAAAACGTTGCTGTAGCCCCTTTTTCCTGTAGTGATATGAGATGTCGGGGATCAGCCCTGATGTCACCTGCCATAAGGTCAACATGGACAGGTCGGCTAAACAAGTAATTCAACAAGCCAAAAGACCAACACTAGTCCATATAGAAGCAGTAGACTAGAAGGTGGAGAAGCTATTGGAAACGCAGGCTATCTGAGAAGTACACTACCAATGGAACCCCATTTTTGACCAGCCTTAAGACTTGGGCTCTCTTTCTTGGGTACTTGATGATGAAAAGAAGATGTGCTAGTCCTATGAATCTTTCAGCAAGAAGTCTAAGGTTTGAGCTCTTAAACCATCTACACACTTGTTTTAGCCAAAATACTTTTCAACTAGTGGAAAACCTTTTTCAAAATGAGTTTAGTTGTATAGTTTCAAACATGATCAATATGTCTTGAGGCTCATTATTTCTCAAAATCAAAATGGTGTATTCTTTCAAACAAACTAAGCAACGGACACAATGGGAATGAATAGAAGATGTGAAATTCTCTGAAATACTTGTTTCTCTTTTCAATTTGTGCTAACTTTACCTCGTTGATTCGACAATGTATTTTCTGATTGGCCAGACAACATATGAAGGTCGGCTCAAGATAGATTCGGCCAGACACCAAAAGGTACGGCCATCCAAATTGTCCAAGTATAGAGCATTTTCGAAAATTTCAACTTATTAAACACACTTTCCATAAATATCTCAAATATTTACAGCCGATGCTCTATAAATAGAGCTCGGCAGCGTATTTCTATGGTTTGGAAAATTGACCCAAGGCATATATAAGGCTTGAGGCTCTCCCTCCTCTCTCTCCTTCATCTCTTACCTACCCTCTTTAACTTTCAACAACCAAACACCATTAAAGCTTAATCTTAAGTTCCCTTCTAAGGTTCTTAGACATTCTAAGACATATTCAAAGGCTCTTGAGGGGACCAAGAGAGAGTTTGTAAAACAAAGAAGCTCATCCTCTTTAAAAGGTGAGATTATTGCACTTCTAATCATTTTTCTCCCTATTTTCCTTTATGTCTTACCCTATTCTTATCATATAACTGTTATAATCATGTAATAAGTCCTCATGTATGTGGTTGGGAGTAGAAATTAGCGAACCATCCATTGACTTGATAGTTTTTCTCTCTTTTCTTGCTTTCCTTAGCTAAGATCCATTGTTGTTGTGTATTTTGGAATCTTGTAAATATGATTAGGAGTAGAAATTAGCCATTTATTCACAAGTTTGATATATAGAATAGAGTTTTTTCCTTGTTAGACATCTTCTCCTCACATATCCCATCATCTAATCATATTAGTCCATGTGTCTCAACCCATGCTCAATATTAATGAGTGATAGGGTTTGTTTCATAGGATTACTTGGATGATCCATAGGATTTGGTGTTAAAAAGATTGTGTTATTTCCTTTTTATTAATTATTTTGGAAGTAAAACAAGAGATTTTACGTCAAGAGCATTGAGATCTCTCTTCTTAGTCATTCGTGAACATCGAAATGGGTGGAAACACCCTTGTTTCATGAATGGAATGAGAGTTTTCAATGGCTTTTGATGAATCCTTTGTTTTTAATGGCTTGAATTTGTTCTTGTTTTGATCCCCTTAATTTGTTAATTTGTTACGAAATATCTGTTATATATATATATATATATATATCTATTTATGCTATTGTTAAAGGTTGAGGCCATCTACCTCCTCTTGAAATTGTTTCTGAGAGTAGAAGAGGTAGAAGAGATAGGCCCCCATTGAAAGATGTTCTTGGCTTCTATTCTGAACATTCTGCACCAACCTAAATCTTACCCAGAAGAAGAGTTCGACAGCTAGTTTTATATTTGGCCGTCCCATCTTTTGTCTGGCCGGATGATTTTCTCAAGAACAGAGCAAACAGTTTTTGGAGAGTGCTCTCTTGGGTGGTTATGGAGTTGCTGGGGGAATTATTTGCCTTATTTAGTATGATTTGTTAGATTCAGTAGTAATTTGGTTGAATCGATTCAATATTGTGATAATTTCACTAACTCCCTTTCTTTTCTTTTATTATTTATTTATTGTTGTAATAATCTCTCTCTCTCTCTCTATCTCTCTCTCTCTCTCTCTCTCTCTCTCTCTCCTTCTTATTCAAATTGTTGTAATATCTTCTAACCCTATGTCTTTCTAACCCTTTTATTTGTGTGCTTTTCGTATAGCATCATGTCTTATTTATCATGCCCATGTATTGCATCCATTTTCATGCATTTAGGTCCACCTCATTTGCATTTGTGGAGTTTATCATTTC